GATCATAGAGGTCTACAATGATTTTCTTATACAATTACTGAATGCATTTCTCCTATATCATCTCCTTTATTTTGAGCACAGACTCCGACCAGTTCCTGAATGCCATAATTCTTGATGTTTGATTTGTGTCCATCCACTCTCCTACGTAGAGACTGTCCAGCCTGACCAATGCACACGCAGAGGGGCATCACCGGCACACGACGGCATACACCACATTGGCAGATGTGCACGTGAATGAGCCCCCGACAGTGTGGCCCACGCGATCAGGCCCTACAATGGTGTCCCCCGAATAGACGCGTGGACACAGTTGGCAATGGGCCCTGCCACAAGGATAGGCCCCCGGGCTAGTGGTTCCGCCATGTGGTGTGCGGTCGCCGGCAAGCACCCGCCTCAGGCCGGGGGGCCGTCCACAAGCAAGGACCGGCCCATCCCCCAAGATCCGCCAGAGTGATGGGCTGCCCCCCAGGACAGGCTGCAGACCCCCGATGACGCGCCGGAGAGGCCCCACCTGGGGGCTGAAGGCAATGGCCAGCAGTGCTCCGCCATTTCCCCTGTCGGGCCTGTCCTGTAGTAGGTGACCTCTGGGCACTCCCTTGGCCCCGCCAACCTGCCTCTCCACCTCAGCAGGCGGGCACTGTAGCTGCAAGAATGCTTGACAGAGATCCTGCAGGCGCCCGCCCCCATCCGAGGGGCCAGAGCAAATGCGGCTCATGTCAGAGCCCGGCTGCAGACAATGGATCGTGCGGCGCAGTCTGGGTGAAAGCCGGAGGCACGCAGGCAGGAACAGTGGTCAGCAGGCCTCTGGCACAGGGTGGTGTCCCCGTGACCATCACCCATCAGCACCACAGCGTCCAGGCAGTGTACCTCCCGCGCAGATCGGTCCAGGCTGAGGCCGACGGTGGGATGGAAATTGCCGAAACCATGGTGGAATTCCCCCAAGGGCGGCCCCCTTGGGCCCAGACAACGAAGATGTCACCAATGTAGCGCAAGCAGAGCAGGGGCATCAGGGAACGAGAGCTGAGGAAGCATTGTTCTAAGTCATCCATAAAAATGTTGGCATTCAGGAACCGGTCGGAGAACACTTCAATCTCTTTGGTCACTTGATTACAGATCTAAAAGTTGCAATTCTTCAATAAAAAAACTTCAGAAACAGAGTCCAACCAGAGACTGCTGAATTGGAATTGATTTGCAAACTGGATACAATTAACTTAGGCTTGAATAGAGACTGGGAGTGGATGGGTCATTACACAAAGTAAAACTATTTCCCCATGTTTATTTTCCCGCCCCACCCCCCACTGTTCCTCAGACATTCTTGTCAACTGCTGGAAATGGCCCACCTTGATTATCACTACAAAAGGTTTCTCCCCCCCCCAGCTCTCCTGCTGGTAATAGCTCATCTTAAGTGATCACTCTGGTTACAGTGTGTATGGTAACACCCATTGTTTCATGTTCTCTACGTATATAAATCTCCCCACTGTATTTTCCACTGAATGCATCCGATGAAGTGAGCTGTAGCTCACGAAAGCTTATGCTCCAATACATTTGTTAGTCTCTAAGGTGCCACAAGTACTCCTCATCGTAATCTGATACAGTCTCTGAGCCATCTGAATTCTGCATGCAAGGTCAGATCCATACAATGGATATTTTCATAACAGTTGGTGCCTGCTGCCACAGAGTTTGAGAAGAGGTAGCAATTTAGTAGGGTGACAAAACTGCTTAAAAAAGATGGTCATGGGCCATCTATGTAAGAATATGTGACAACTCCAACCTGGTGGCTATGAGAAAACTTTAATTATTTTCAAGAGGATTAGATGAGAAAGATTTGGTGGCTTACTTGTGGTTTTAATGCTGATTTTATGTGTTTTAATCTTCTATCTTTTGTCATTTAATCTGTCATTAACAGTAAAGGGCCTAGGATATTGTGATAGGTATTGTAGAAATAAAATGCATTATAAATCATTATTATTCTAGTTCCCATGTTTCCCCTACTTCTAATAGACATTATTAATTCTGAGTGGGGGAAAAATATACTCAAAAATCTCATCTGCCTAAGTAAGAATTTGTGTGGAACTTTGATTTAACAGCAGGCTGTATGAGCTGGTATCTGCCCTTCTTCAAAATCATAGTTATGCAAAGTGCAAGCCCCCATTAACTCAATGAAAATTACTCACATGAATAAAGTTTTGCACATGCGTAGAGTTTTGCAGGAATGGGACTTAGATCAGGACTTTTCTTCTTCAAGGCATAGATGTACACTGGCTGCTCAATCAGCCTTGCAAAATTTGTCATAAGAATTTTTCACCCCAGGCACAAAATCTATTTGCCCTATCCTGATGATGAAAGCACCTACTCGCCTGTCAAATATTTTATTTTATTATATTATTTCTGGGCGATATTAGTGAGCTGCTTGCAAACACACAGGATACACCCACATATCTATTCAGGGGACACCATCACAGGGCCTAATAACATCAGCCACACTATCAGAGGCTCGTTCACCTGCACATCCACCAATGTGATATATGCCATCATGTGCCAGCAATGCCCCTCTGCCATGTACATTGGTCAAACTGGACAGTCTCTACGTAAAAGAATAAATGGACACAAATCAGATGTCAAGAATTATAACATTCATAAACCAGTCGGAGAACACTTCAATCTCTCTGGTCACGCAATCACAGACATGAAGGTCGCTATCTTAAAACAAAAAAACTTCAAATCCAGACTCCAGCGAGAAACTGCTGAATTGGAATTCATTTGCAAATTGGATACTATTAATTTAGGCTTAAATAGAGACTGGGAGTGGCTAAGTCATTATGCAAGGTAGCCTGTTTCCTCTTGTTTTTTCCTACCCCCCCCCCCCCCAGATGTTCTGGTTTAACTTGGATTTAAACCTGGAGAATGGTCAGTTTAGATGAGCTATTACCAGCAGAAGAGTGAGTTTGTGTGTGTATGGGGGTGGGGGGGATGTGAGAAAACCTTGATCTATGCAGGAAATAGCCCGACTTGATTATGTAAAGAGTTGTCACTTTGGATGGGCTAGCACCAGCAGGAGAGTGAATTTGTGTGGGGGGGTGGAGGGTGAGAAAACCTGGATTTGTGCTGGAAATGGCCCACCTGTTGATCACTTTAGATAAGCTATTACCAGCAGGACAGTGGGGTGGGAGGAGGTATTGTTTCATGATTTCTGTGTGTATATAAAGTCTGCTGCAGTTTCCACGGTAAACATCTGATGAAGTGAGCTGTAGCTCACGAAAGCTCATGCTCAAATAAATTGGTTAGTCTCTAAGGTGCCACAAGTACTCCTTTTCTTTTTGCGAATACAGACTAACACGGCTGTTCCTCTGAAACCTGTCATTCTACAGTTTAAAGCCCTCATCTTGTAGGCTGATCTCTGCCAGTGGATCTTTACCCTCATCTAGACTCCAATGCAATTAATGGGCTCTGAACATAAGCAAGGGTCCGCTCCTAGAGATCAGTTTGAGGCATTAGGGCTTGTGTTTAAAAGACCAGAATGCTGAAATGATGTAGCCAATTAACAGACGTATTGGAGCATAAGCTTTCGTGGGTGAATACCCACTTCGTTGGATGCATGTAGTGGAAATTTCCAGAGGCAGGTATAAGAGACACAAGAAAACAATTTCCTGTGTGTAAGTACTGTACTTCCATCAGTGGCCCAACCACAGCCAACAAAGCTTATTTTAACTGGGTCCAGGGTGCCTAAAAGGGGTTAACTGTTCTGGGTGTAGTTGATGCACAAAGAAACACAACTTATTCTTTCAGCAATGATTCCTTTAGAGGGCTCCACTCTATTGTGTAATTTAAGGTTTTATACAGGAAATTGTCTGTTAAAAGAACAATTCATAGTAGCATTTATCCTTTTAGAGAACATGATGCCAATAATCTTCTTCCACATGTCTGCATTTTTACTAGATAACTTATTTACCTTAGCTGTTCTTTGATATTGTAACAGGTGTGTTCTTAGGAGATATAATTGTACTGTGTGCCTGTTTTACTAGTCAAATAATTAGATGGTAGCTGTCTAGCCTTGGAGAGAAGCAGAATCTAAGAGTTCTAACCGCAGGTAGGTAGGCAAGCATGTGTAAGACAAGGAAAAATATAGAAAAATTGAATGTCTGAAATATGTAAATCCGAATATAATCCATACCCAGATGTATTAACTAATACGAAATTTTACCCTGTAGATTACATAAAAGAATGTTTTGATCCCCCCTCACCTCCATCATAAACAGCTTTCAAGATCTGTTAAAAAGCAGCCAAAGCAACGCAGTTAAGCATTAGAGTGTAAATTTAGGTGTTTTCTTTCCCAGTGTGCATTAGCTGCAGAGAATGACAAAACAAATGTAGGAGGGGAGGAAGGAATAGTAAGAAAATCGAAAGCTACATTAGTCCTACATATGTCCTCCCCTGCTCATTTTAATATATAATACCTATCTATACACACACTTCATACATATATGTGGGTGCATGGGTGGATGGATGGATATTTTCCTCAGTCCCTTCAGAGCCCTTGTTTTGCTTCCCTATCTTGCTTTCTATATAAAATATTAGTGTTGAATGGTACAAGCAGGAATATAGAAACTATAACCCAAGCCTTCTCCCCAGTACATCCTCAGGCTTGGAAAAATCTCGGAATAAAGTATCTGGATATTCTGTTCCTTCCTGCCTTCTAGTGCTCAACGATACATGTTTGTTCTTTAAAACGTTTCCTCCATAGTGTTTCTTCTCTTCTTCCGACAGAGCGGACCCAAACAGCCCGGCGGACAAAACGGGGGACGTTCACACTTGGCACCCGAGTTTGCCCTGCGAAGAGAGACCGTGAGGACCAAACTGCCTAACTGCATCTTGGACAATGTCCCCCCAGCCGACACCTCTACTGGGCCAACCCCCTTTAATAGCAAAGAGGGGCCCCCGAGAGGTGGCAGGAGCTGGTCTGAACTGTGTGCATTCAGTGAGCCTAAGGAGCTCTTGCTATCTGAGGACTCAGCCCTGGGGCAGTCACGGTCCCGATTCTTCTCAACGCCGCTGCATGCCTACGGATGTAGTAATCCAGCATGTTTCATCTCAGGGAAGCAGCCCCTAGCCCTGCCAGAGATGAGGACGAAGTTTGACTAACGCTGGCTCTGCTTCCCATGCTCTTGCTAGTGCTTTGTGGGTGTGACTTGTTTAAAGCCCCTGCCACTGCAAAATCCCCTGTTCCCGGGGCTAGATCCCCCCGCTCGTCTCCCCCCTCCAATCTCCGTGCCGCAGAGGGCTGCTGTTGCCCCTGGAGTTGTGCAGGGAGCGGTGCGGGGGAAGGAAGGGGAGGGAACGTGCTGCACACACACACGCATACACAAACTCCTGCAGTTTACCTACGCTTCTCCCAGATAAACCGTGCATGAATCTCCCTCCGAACAGCCCCTGGGCTGGTGGCTGCTCCAGGGACGTGTCCACCTGTGTCCCGAGTCTGGACGGGATCGTTGTGTTTAGTTTTGGTTTTTGCACAGGGGCACTTCGACAAATGCTCACCCGATCCTAGCTCGCTCCCTCCTGCGCTTGCTATGATCAAATCTGTAATTTCAGGGGTTATTTTCGGCAACCAGCTTTGCACGGAGGAAGCTCTGCTGGGAAGAAGCCTCTGAAAAGCAGCCGCGAGTGGGGACGGCCCAGAGGGGCAGCTGTCAAGCTGGCATGCCGCTTCGCCTGTCCGTGGTATGAGGCAGCGACCGGGGGGCAGCCCAGGAGTCTGGGAGGGCTGACCCTGCTCCCCATCTCGCCCTGCCTGCTTGTCTCTCGGGCGCGGGAGCGATTGTGGGGGTTGCTGCTGGGGAGCAACAACACGGCTTCAAACTGAGCCTCAACTTAACGCAGCAGGGATGGTAACACTACAGCAGCCTCCTCGGCGCTTCCAGGACAGCAGGAGAGCCAGGGCTTTGCTTGCCACTGCCTAAGGCCTGGGACTAAAATGGAATTTCTCACCTGGATTTTGCCGTCCTTGGTTCTGCTGTGCACCCAGCAGCACAGGTGTATCAGGTAAGGGGGGGGCTCCAGGGTCTTTACTTGTGTGTCATTATCCCCCTTTGCCAGGGACGCCCTGAGTTCGTGGGCTGCGGATTTTTGCCTGGCAGGGAAAGTGGGTCTCGACTGGAGAGTTCGTCACAAGGTGCCCTACTTTTATCACTGTTCCACCGGCTGAGCAGCAGCGTCCCGGGTTAATCAAGTGGGAAGCCCGTTAACAGGATATCTGGGGAAGCCTTATCTCTAGGGCACTTTGATCTAAATTGGAGGCAATCTCTAAAGTTAATGGCATTTCACAGGCCCGGGATAGTCCCGTCCCCGTTTAAAAAGCAGCAATCCCTGCAGCTTGGCCATAAAACTCGGCAGCTCACTGGAGATCGTTGGCTGGTGACAAAGAGCCTCCCCAGACGTAACAAAAAAAACCAGAGAGAAGTTTGAAAAACAAATCAAACCCATTTTTAAAAACAAGTGTAGGGCTAAATCTGTGCAATTGATAGTTATGTTCACTCCAAAGGTGTTAGCTAGGCAACCAGCTTGGATCCAATTTGCAATGTTCTTTATATACTCTCCACGAATCTGGAGGCTGAAAGTGGAGAAAGCTTGCCATGGTTATGCAATGAACGCAGAAGGGGAGGAAATCTTTAAAAGAGAGAGATCTAGTTCAGGGCATCTAAAAGCAATGCCCAAGCTTTTCCAGGCAGGGAGTCCTGGGAGGGATGGAGGGGATTCCCCTGCTCCTCAAAAACGGTGGCTATGCCTATTTGTATTTGGGGGCTTCAAGACGGTGGGAATAAAGGCCAAGTGGTGATTGTGTACAGAGGAACATGGTTACTGTGGTGTTTGGGATTATTTGCTGAGGTTTTATTATTTTATTGAGAAGCAGGATGGTCCAGTGGTTAGAACAGGAGTCAGGCAACTGAGTCTCATGTAGGACTTTGCCACTGATTGACAGCATGACCTTGAGCAAGCTACCAAAGGCCAGATGCTGATACATTTACATGAATACCTCCCTTCTCAGGTGCTCCTGTGACTTAAGAGGGTCACTCAAGGAGTAAGATGCTACTCGCTAGGTGAATAAGGGTGTCAGAATCTGGCCCATAATTTCAGTACCACAGTTTCCCCACCTATATACTTAAGATAACGTTGAGATTTTTGGCTGAAAGGTGCTGTACAAGTGCAAAGTATTATTCTTTTAAATAAGCAATTACTCTTCTCTAGCCTGTGACTTCAGGATCTGTTTCAAGGCATAGCAAGAGCCTGGATGTATACAATGTATAATTTGTTACATAAATTATTTTATTACTGGATTAATTGCCTAGTTACTTGGCTTTCTTCCTACAATGACACAATAGTGATGAATTGTTGTTAGAAATACATATACTTCATGGCAGAGGAAGGGGACAGCTAGAAAAATACAACTGCTAGCTTTTGAGATTTAATGTTCTGTGTTCAAATGATGTTAGTGGTTTATCTTATCTATAATTGCCAATAGCAAAAGACTCTGAGTTCAAAGGAAGCTACCCTGTTTAGTTAAGTGTAGTCATCTGAAAGCTCACGTAGAACAGGGTTCTCATTGCAGATGCAGTGGTGAGCTGTATTTGAAAAGAAAAAAGGGTTAATGGACACCTGGTGTATCGCACCCTAGCCATACAATAATACAAATAATAAATAATAATCCTAGAAACCAGCCTACAAATAATTTTACTCATGTTAAATTAAATGGAGCTACACAAATGAGTAAAATTACTAATGTGTAAATGTTGGCAGGATTGGGCCCAAAGTTTTTTCTAATGAAAATCTGCATTCCTGAGTTTTTGGGTGAGAACCATGAAATCAATGAAAGTTAACATGGTTGGTGAAACTTTGGAGCCCAGCGTCAGAAATTGCAAACTGTTTTCCACTTGGTTTTTAACACTGGACAAGGAGAAGAATTTCACCGTTGACTGTTAACCAAAATAAAGTTTAATGTGTGTAGTCTAAAGTCTCCCTTGGGTTATTGAATCATTATTTACAACCAAGCAGAAACTGGTTTCTATTGAGTTCACGTAGGACCTGATCCAAAGTCCACTAAAATCAATGGATAGATAACCTTCCATAAACCTCAAGGGGCTCTGGGTCAGGTTCTAAGTGCTGAAGACAATTCTTAGTGCTATAGCATCTGCAAGCAGCAAACTTAGACATACCAGACTCTTTACAGGTGGTGCAATTCCTTTTTCTTATTTTAATAACGCAATGACATTCTAACTTCTTTTCTGGTTTAAAAATCAATGCAAAGCATTTTAAAAAATGCATATTTAGCATTAAGCCCATCCAAACCCCACTATCTAACTGAGCTTTATTGAGAAATGTGTGACTAAGGCTGCACAATCCTCAGGCTGAAGTCCTGTGCAAATGCGCATAACGTCTGTGTGCGCTAACCAGTGTTGCTGAATTGTCACCTCAGGGTCCTGTTCTAATCTCTTGGACTGATGCACGTCCCTTGGCCACTGCAATAGCTCATCTTGTAAGGGCCTCAAGAAGAGTATACTTTTCTCCTTCTACCCTCTGTGCCAGAGATGCACAGGTTTGTATGGTAGATGGTGCTTTAGCCAGGATATATTTTACTAGTAGTTTCGTACACTGAGATTAAAATGTAAAATTTTGTCAGTGGCTACATTTCCTCTTTATTGATCTAATTTTGATTTTAAATGTGATGCCTTGATTATAATGACTGCAGGGGTGTCAAAGAATACATTTCTCTGGCCACAGATTCCATAGATTGCAGAGCAAGAGGTTATTAAAAGAAAGTGCTATTTGGAAGATTCTAAACACCACAGTATTAGTTAAGACTTCCCAAGGACCAGCTTTAAAGTTAAATACCAGAACTATCTTTTTTTTTTTTTTTAGGAAACACCCACAATCTGCTCATGCTTGGCACTTTCTGAACATTGCCCATCTCAAATTAGATGCTCAAGACTGGTATAATTTGAGGTCTCCATTACGTGTGCTGTTTGACAGAAATCAGTGAACCAAATTCAGCCTCAAAGTCAGTGGAGTTGCATCAACTTATACCAGGGTTGAGGTTAGCCCACTGTGCTTATTAGTAGTATTAGTATTCATTTGCAGCTTTCTATGTGCAGAGCTTGGCGCATTGCAGACGCTCTCTTAATACAAATAAATAATAGTTGAGATGCATTAAAAGAAAATGTAGTGAGATGTCTTCTCTTGCAGTGGAAGAGTTTCATGTGCAGTATTTACTCCTATTACTAGTAATAGGAGTCACGCGGCTGTCGTGCTCAAAGGTTTAAAAGGCCCCTGACTCTATAACTCTCCAACGAAATAGCTTTTAACTCTCTAATTAAAAATAGACACATAATCTTGTTTTAAAAATAATTCTATTTGTATATAATTAACTATCCTACTGGCTTGTACATCTCTCAACCTTTTCCTCCCAGAGATGAGAAGAGAGGCTTGCAAATATGAAATATGTGCAAAGAGTAGACTACTTCATGCAGCTTAAAACTCAGGGAGAAATGGAAATAAAGACTTTGATGTTCATAAGGTTGCCATGAATTAAGCCTAATGCTTTTTCAGTTTCGTTTCAAAATATGGAACATTTTAGCTTCACGTAGAGTCACGGATGGCAGATGGAAAGGATACACATACTGCTCTGGATAATCCTGGAGCTTGCTACAGGCTAGATCATTCCCTGACCTTGCCTGATATTTAAAGGCCTTTTTCCAGGAAAAAATGGCAGAGAAAATTATACTGAAATGAAACAACTTTACCTCCATACCAGTGCTCTGGACCACACACAGTCAGCTATTTAACAGACTGATGCTTCCATCTTTCAGATGAAAATATCCATTTGCAGGTGCTCAGTTGCCAACAGACCGTGTAGAATGTAGGCTGGTTGGGCAACTTAAAGGAGAAATAGGAGAGATACAGGAAGCAAGACATTTTCCCCGCTGCACTTTTAAAATGAGAGTATCTGGCCGCTAGCGCAGGTTACCATGACCTATCTACAAGTTTGATCTAAAGTCAGCTCTGCTGATGGCCATTGACTTGCAGAAGGTCCTTGGGCTTTTTTGTGCTGGAGACAGTAGCTGAGATTCCTATCTCTCTATATTCTTGTTCAGCAACCACTGAACAGTGCATTCATTCCCACATGGCTTAAGTGAAATATTTACCAAGTCTTTTGCTCACTGATATGAGGGAATTTTGACTCAATATGTTCAAGAAGTGTTCCAGGAGATAGTAAGAAGTGGGCAAAATCCCAGCTGATAAACCATGTTGCATTAGTGAAAATGCATTTATTCTGTAGCTGGTTGGAGAGACCCATCATCTGAATTAGGTGTATATGTTACCCACATCCCCACTGTTGGTTGTGTTTATATCCTTAGGAGAGCTGCATTTCTTGGTAATATTTATTTGAGGGGCTTTATAATTTTCCTAAGTTGTATAATAACCATAAACATCAGCTTCCTCTCTGCTTTAAGGGGGCTAAATTGTCTTTCCCTACCAGACAGGAAAACTAGACATTTTTTTTTTCAAGAAAGAAAGAAAAATGAGGCTCTTTTCCATGGTGAGCCAATTGCATTGATCAAAGCATCACAGAAATGTAGGGCTAGAAGGGACCGCAAGAGGTCATCTAGTCCAGCCCACTGCACTAATGCAGGATCAGGTAAACCTAGATTCCCTGACAAGTGTTCAGCTAACCTGTTCTTAAAACTCTCCGAAGATAGGGATTCCACAACTTCCTTTGGAAACCCTTACCTGCCCTTACAGTTAGAAAATTTTCCCTAATGTCTAACCTAAATCTCCCCTGCTGCACATTAAGCCCATTATTTCTTGTCCTACCTTCAGTGGACATGGAAAACAATTGATCACCATCCTCTTTATGACAGCCCTTAACATATTTGAAGACTATCAGGTTCCCCCTCCTCCTCCTTTTCTCAGAACTAAAATATGCCCAGTTTTTTTTAAATTCTTCCTCATAGGTCAGGTTTTCTAAACCTTTTATCATTTTTGTTGCT